TATTGTAACAATATCTGTTCTGAATTATTAGGCATGATTGTTTCATTGTTATTGTCATGTGACACTATTGCAGTGACATCTTTTGGATTTAGCTGTTTTCTGTTTCAGGTCCTAAAAATTCTTGCTTTGCAAACAGAAGAGTTCATATTTTTCTCATTTCTCTCTCTCTCTCTCGCTCCACACACATTTTATGAGATAAAGTTTGTGTTGTTGGCTCTTTGTCATGACTTGTTTCCTTCTTTTGGTTAAACCCTGGCAATTGTTTCAAACAATTGTTCTGTAAAGTATTTTATTGCATTCTTGCCAAATCATGGCCAGTATTGCAAACAATTTTGAATTTGTACATTATTTCATGAGCTGGTGTTACTTTCTAGCTAAATAGCTCCAGGGAGCAGGGTCTTTCTTAAGAAGCTAGTAGTCAGTCACTCAGTGAGAATTCTCTGTATTTCAATGGAAGCCAAAGATTCATTACCGTGCTCACAATAACTTGACACTAAACCTTACCCTGAGTCAGATGAATCCAGTCTATATCTTCATACTGCTTTTATCCTCCATTTTATGCTTGTAAAGTGTATAATAATTTGTATTTTTATAAATATTTGTTCCATTTTGTACAAGTTCTTTTAATAATTGAAGGGTTATAGTTTGTCTATCGGCATCAAAAACAAAAAAGCAGAGAATAATATATTTCTATCAGTATAACCCAGACCCTTGTAAATAAATACGACAGTGTATGCTTGAATTTATCGTGTTAATTTCCCACTCAGATTGATGCTCGTATTTATTATGGTAAGAGGCGTATTTATCTTTTTGTTGTGCATCCCATTCAGTGAAACAATAAAAACTTATATTTTTGGTACGACTTTGTCGGGTCCTACAAAGTGCAAAAATTATTGTCAGACTGTATTTTCATAGTTGAAACACATTGCTGACTCCCATTCTTTGAATCATGCCAATACTATCCATTACGTTTGTTTTGATTCTTGGAAACAGAATTTTCACCCATCCCTAAAATATTATCAATATTTTGGGTTTGTGCCAGATTACCTACATGTGGCATGTAATAATGATGAAATAATGATCTTGATAAGACTCAGTCTTTTAACATTCAAGTAAGTTGTGTTTCAGCCTGTAGAGTGATAGAACATTGAATTGTTTTGCTGATATATTTATATATTCCATATTTTTCAGATCATGCTTGATATTTTTTACAGTTAACTTTTGTGTTGAGACACTAATAATTTTTTAATATTTATTATTTGTGTTTTAATGTACTTGCTTAAACATGTGTCCTGTAATTGAACACCCATTTATTGAGTTGACTGTTGTATCCGAACTCCTGGTTCAGTTTTGTACCAGATTAACACTTATGAATCAAATTGTAGTTTAAATTAATTTACTGATAATTAATATAATTCTTCATATATCTTCTGCCAATAGAATATGTGTGTGCACTATAAGGAATCTTGAAGTGCAGTCTAATCATATTGGACAAATTAGTTCCTTTTATAACATCTCCAAAATCGGTAATTGTGTTAAATGTTCATAACAAATTATTTTGTTTCAGTGAGTTATACAGTATTTGTTGAAACATTTTTGATCCAGGGTAAATTGTGATTTGTGGTAATCTGTCATTTTGACTTACATTATAAAATGTTTATCATCGTCCATGGACGTTAGAGGCAGTTTTGTCATTTGCAAATACTTTTTGATAATAACATGTTACCTTTTGAGACTAAATTTCATATAAAATATACAGTCTCAAACACACAACTGCTCCACATGACCTTTACACAGCAACTGATGGTCAAGGTGATTAGACTTGAACAAGGAAATGTAAAACATTGGAATGTTGTG